ATGTTTTTTTTTTTTTAATTTATTATTTTAATATCGATATTCAGGTACAATCAGATGCATGAAATATTATTTATTGAAAAGAAATAAGGTTTTTAGGTCGATAACCTTTACAGTCGTTACATATCATCAACGTAGGTGCAGTTATTGAATTCAAACAATTCAAATAATTATTCTGATCATATATGTTGTCTTTTAACATAAATATTATATACAAATAATTATTTTCAATTAAGCTGTGTTTTCAAACAATAATTCTCAGGTAGTTATATTTTTGAATTATTCAAAACTTCTTCCCAACAATTTTTTTAAATAATAATTAAAATTTATTAATTATTGATTTTAAATCATCGACAAGTTGTCTTTTCATTCATAACATCTTCACCGTACGTAAATATCGCGAACAGAAGATGATGTCGAAAGTGCTCATTTTTCCATCTTGAAGACGTGTAGTACAATAAAATAATTGTTGTAACGTAAAAATAAATACAATATCATGTAGAGCAGAAAATTTTCTTTTAAATTACTTATAACATTTACCATTTTTTTTTGTTACATTTGGTGCGTATTTTGGAATTTGAAAAAAAAAACGTACGTTATATTTAGCAATTTAAAACAAGACTTATTTTTCGTTCGTTATTTCTACATTTAGAAAGAAAACAGGTAGACCTTAAATTTATGTTCAAAATTTAATATTATATTTGCAAGAACTGAAATTAAAGAATAAAAAACTTTGATATTATTTTCTATTCGTTAATCTCATTTTCAAACTAATTGATTTAATATTAAAGGAATTAAAGGTTGTAAAAAAAAGTAAGAACCAAATATTTGTATTCAAATCACTTTATATTTTAATTTATAATTTTTTTTGACTTTACATTAATATACGAATGTTATATGAATGCATTCAACTAAATTGAATGTAAAGAAATATATTGTTATTATAAATTTATTTTTATTAAAGAAAAAATATACAAAAAAAACAATGCATATTACAGAAGTATTTATATAAACATTTATAAAATACTTGGAAAATAACATATTTGGGCAAAAAGTAAACAAATTGGCATCAAATTCAGTAAATTGGAAGAACGTCCAAACTAGTTAAAAACATACTTATGTATAAGGCAATACTGAAACAACAATATTCAACAACTATTAAAGTTTAAGTTTAAACACTTTCGAAACTAATTAAAAAAATACACTATCAAGCTAATTAAGTGTTCATGTATAAGTCATTAATTATCTTGTAATCTACGACAATTGTAAATGCAATAATAAAAGTAAGATTTTCTATTCTTTTTAATAATTACGTCCATATTTTTGTCACCCTTTCGATGCTTATCGATTTTAAAAAGTAATGTTTTTGTATATAATTTGGTCTGAGATTCGATCTTATCCAATCATATTAGATTTGTGCAGAACCTGTTTTTATGCGGTCCTTTTTATGCGATTTTTGTTATGCGTTTTTTTTTATGCGAATTCAACCAATTCCAACGGCGTTAGCACCATTCTAATGTTTTCTATCAGTGTGTGCATATGTACAGTCTGCTCAAACGATTCTGTTAGTCGATTTTGAATCAATTCATCACAGTAAGATGTATTAACACTAGTAACATGTGCATTTTGAAAATGTTACCATATGTAATTTTCTCCGGTATTTCGTAAGTCTTTGACGTATTTTATAAGTCTGTAATATATTATACAAAGTTATTTGTTATATGTAAGAAATAATGAAAATTTCGATTATTTTTGTGCGATTTTTTTTATACGGTCTCTATCTACCGCACATACAAATTTTTTTTTTACTGCACATAAAGAAAATATTATTGACAGAAGTTTGTATCTTTTATATCGATTATCTATGGTCAATATTAGTAACTGTTAAAATACAGATTATTATTTATTTTGAATACCAATTAGAAAATTTATTGGTCCATTTCAACAGTAGATTTCTGCTAAATAAAAACAAATATTTTTGGCAGTAATTTACTTTTCATTAGTATAGAAACGTTAAATTATGTTTTTTTTTGGTATTTTTGCAATAAATATTATTATTAAAAATATTAAATTTAGAGCGGAAATAAATGTGTTAAAATAAAATAAATTTGTAATATTTTTAAAATTTCTGTATTAATCAAACTATTAAATTAGAATGAATTAAAAGAGAAGTACATGTCGTTAGTAATTACTCAAATGGTTAATGACCGGAGCCTTTGTATACATAGTACACTATTCAAATCGTCTAATTAAGATTCAAATAGAAATACGTTTCGACGCTATCAATCGTCTGCGATCGATGTGAACTAGTTACTTGGTTGCATTCTAGACGCAAATGTCGTTACACAGAGTGTTGGACAGTGCAAGTAACTGAACTGGTCGACTGCTGCGTGTACTTGCTACCTACTTGTCTACGGGATAAACGTACGAACCGCCGTCTATAAACTTAAAAAACAATTAATATTCAGCTAATGTTTAATTGAATCACAGACACGCATCGTGAAATAGCGAATGGTGTGCGTTGGATTCAGTATTATTAAAAATAGTTGCATGTGCATTTTGAATTGCTGCCGTCTGAAGTGTTAACAACCAATAGCTTTGAAGGAACACACTTCAACGAAAATGAAAAAAAAAAAAAGAAGAAAAAACAACACGCTCTTCGACTGCTTCGTTCATAACTGTACTGCCAGAAATGGGCTCCATGTACTAAATACTAAAATAAAAATTTCGAAGAAATCCTATCCTATAGCATATGAAAATTATATACCGAATGCAGCAACAAAAGGCCGAAGACCTTTGGCCTCTATATTTATTGTTAAACTATTTATAAATAGAAACTAATTAAATATAAATGTTGTATATGACTCCTCAACTATAACAATCATAACGATCGAGTTTTTTACACCATTTTGTTTTTTTTTTTCTAATTCAAGTTGAATCTCATTTTGACAAAAGAGATATCACAAAATTTGTGATTAATTTAGTAAATAAATAGTTCATATGTTTCTATATGTACTCATTGTCAGCTCAATTCATATATTTTTTTTTTAAATATATTTTCTTAAATTGAGGAAATGCATCTTATGTTTATATTTATACTGTACAACTTTAAAACATTCAATTGTTGTCTAGAGCGTATTTGCTTTAATTGTTATTTAGAGTTCTCTGATTTTCCTTTCTGCGCTACTTTGAATATTCTAAGATTTCTGGCGAATTTAGAAATTTTATTTATTGTTTCCTGAAAAATAATCATTACGAAATTGAAATAACCCTTAACTATTTTTTTGTAAATAAATTGAAATTTTTCACCTGTTTTCATATAAACCTTAAAGTTCATATCTGAGATTTTTCACATAAATAAAGTATTGGAAAATTCAAAATTAAACAACAACAATACATACGTTGTAAGATCACCAATTTTACTAAATTTCTATCTTGGCTTAAAGAGTAATGACATATCTAAATATAAATGTTGCAAACTGAATTTCTATAAACGAAGAAAATAGCAGAAATAACCTTCTTCGAATAGGCGCAATTTTTTATTCTTCTTAGTAGGATCCAAATCACGTCCGGAATAATTTTCAATAACTTATCTCTTTACTTGTTTTTTTTTTTATTCAACATACCTTATGTTCTTCATAGGTGATACAAATAAGTGTAAAGGAGAAATCAATGTTAAATGCGGTCACGATTCATCTGCTTGAAATGTAGAAATTCGAGGAAAAAAAAATTGTAATTTTAATTTCAATGTAACTGTACTGAAGAAGACCAACCTTTGAGAATTTGCGTGTGCATAAACCATGCGATTCCCACGCCTCAGACAAAATATTTAAATAAAAGTACGAAAGAAAAAAACTTGGCAGATAATGAAGAAGAACTTTGTGAAAGAGATGACGCAAACTTTAAAAATAATTGTGATTCAAAATCTAGTATATTCTGATTATGTTATTATTAAAAAAATAATAATTAACGATATTATAATTAGTTTCTATCTATTAGATTAATATGTAATAATTATTGATTGATATTATTCATTATTTCAGGATATGAAATTGAAATGAGTTCAGTTCATTCTCTTCAAGTCTTTTTACAACAAACTCTGAGAAGTTACACTTTAAGCTTTATTATTTGAGAGGATATTTTCAATGTTGGAAAACAATTAATAAAATAACATAATTTGTTGTATTAGCTTTTCCCTGAAAATTTGTCTTTTGTTAAGTAAAGTATATACAGTGGAAACCTCACTTAACGAATTTAATCCGTTAGTGAAACATATTGAAAAATACTCTTATAATGTGTGTAGACAAGTTTTAAAAATGATGCAACAGGCGCGTAATCCAAGACTTCTCTTCTCGTCGTCACTCGTTAAGCGAGTCATTTTTCTTACAATTCATTTTGCTCGTTAATCGAAATGCTTGTTATGCGAGGTGCTCGTTAAGCGAGGTTCCACTGTATATGCATTCACAAGTATTTTTCGTGCTCTACATGCTTCAATTTTTCGAAGCAATTCTGCAAAAGGACCGATTGAAGTATTCATCAAGGATGCTCTGAATCATCTCGAATCGCGTCCTCCATACTTTCCGGACCTTACGCCAACGGATTATCACCTTTTCCGTTCCATGTCGAATCATGGCTGAAAAATGATTAAAATGTCTGAAAATTGATTCATTCAAAAAAATTAAGCAGGTAGGTTTGTAGAGCAAGAAAAGTAGAAGTATTTCCGTCTTCATCAAAATTTGTAAAATTTATTTATCTGGATGATATCTGGATTCTTCCTTAATATTTGTATGTTAAGTGCAGTTTGAAATTGGACTTCATTATATCAAAGATTCGTTATCAGAAGAAACATTAACAAAGGTATCACTATAAAAGTAATTCTACGTTATTTAAAGTACAGTTAAAAAGTAATTCAAATATTATCGATTGGACAAATATACATTTCTGACTATGTTTGTAGTAACTATTTACATTTTGTAATAGTTGATAGATTTACTATAACAGACGAACAATTGATGTTCACTTCAAAAGAGTATAATTATATGTTAAGTATTCTTGTGCTATTCATTTCATTATATCAATTTGGTTGGATGTTTGTACAGAATTGGCAAATCCCAAATGAATGTTCCACCAAGGCAAAGCCTCTAATATCTTTAGTAAGTCATGAAAAATTATTAGAAAATCGCACTGGGTAAAATAAACTCATTGTCTTTCTGCCCAAATGATTATAATTTATAATTATCCAAATAAAAATATATATAATTAGGTAATTGTAAAATGCATAAACAATCAACTTTAAACTCATATTTTAAAATGTGATTTCACTTTCTATGCAATTTGATATATTATTTAATGAAAAGAAATATTTTATCCATAGTATTTTTACATCCAAAAACGAAGTCATTGATATTAATTATAGTTTACTTGCTTATTTACTAATTAACTATGTTAAAATGTACCTAGGTATAACCCAGGTTTTCTTGTGCAAATTTCCCAAACTTTCTATATCATAGTAAAACAACTTCAAAACCATGTCGAAATACAATTTATCTGACATAGGACCGCAAAGGTTTAATCGAGTTTAATCTTTACGTCAAAAAGAATCTCAACATTTTATATAATTTATATATTATATATTAAATAATTTTACATTTTTTTATAGAAACTTTATTTATCATTAGCATCTATTGATACATATATCTTAATAAGTTTTTACAGTCATAATAACATGAAAATGTATGATTATAAACAATTTATATCAATTTTATCTTTTTCATAAATATAATAATGTAGTAATCAAAATAATTGTATGACATAAGTAAAGATTACAAATAAAACATATCATTTATTAACATTATGAATAGCAGAAACACTTACTTATCATGCAATTGGCTTAATTCTTATTATGAATTTGATTAATTACAAATGTATTCAATATTTTCATTATGATACTTATGCAAGTATTTGATAAGAAGTTACCTGGCAAGTAATTTATATTCAACGTAGATTTCGTTTTTTTAAGTCAATTTATTTTTTTTATATAAAGAAACTAATTTATTAAATTAAATAACGTACAATTAAATAAATAAATAAATAAAGATATTCGATATAACAAATGCATTTTTCATTTCTATATCAAAGATTAAATAACATATTTAATATATTACACAATTCCCAAGAAAACAATAAATGATTTAAAACGAAAATTATTAAATTAATTGTACCTGAGTTTGAATAAACTAAAAATTTTGGAAAGCTATTTGTATTATATAATATTAATTAATATCCGGCGAAGAAATATAGTTTAACCTGTGATAAATGTAATAATATCCTTAGAAGATATTCGTCTTTTCTTTTGTATTATTTTAAGTGTATAGACTAGACCGAAAACGTTCAGTTTATTGCCACCTGGAAAGGTTTGTATTGAGTGTCAAGAGCATTATTTGAGCCACGAAAAGTTGGTGCTTTCCTCGGATCCAGTCGGTTTCTGATGGGAATACGCCATATCCTGAGCAGACTTATCCTTCTCTTCGTTCTCGTAAGATCTCCTGGACCAGTAACCGCCACCGCCGTGACCGCCGCCGCCACCGCTCCATCCTTCCTCCTCACCACCATCGTAATGATGTTGATGCTGAGCATGCTCGTAGTAAATCACCTTCTGCGGTTGATGTCCCTTCTTCAGATCGAAATAGAATCTGGCCGCGTTTATCAGAAGACCGGCGGCGGCGATTATCAAGAATTTGATTTGTAGATGAGCAGCTAAGATCTTCAGAAGCAGAGTGATCTTTCCGAAAAGCACAACGCCGAGAACAAGCAACTTGATGATGGCTTTCAACTTCTTCTTCTTCTTCTTGCCGCGCTCCACTGGAATAAAACGAACCATAATGAAATACAGAAACGTTAACGGAACTCGTCGCACATGAATTTTAAATGATTTACACGGAAATCCATGTTTTATTTTATTTTATTTTTTTTTTATATTGTAACTGTTTTTGTCAATTTCCTCACCTCCGTTCACTCCGCGGCCCTTGGTCTCCTCTTTCTTATCGTCCGCTCCGGTTTCTTCTTCCTCCTCTTCGTCTTCCAGGGATTCCTCCTTGGCAGCTCTGAAGAGACCGCTGATGCCATTCTTGAAGACGATCTCGGTGATCTCGGAGAAGATTCCGCTGATGGATTCGATCAAGGAGGACGGTGTCTCGTCCGAATTCTGTTTCCTGCCCAGAGCCACGGACTGGCTGTCGGCCTCCACTGCGAAAATGGAAATTTCGGAATTAGCTCACCGCACAGCGATCGTGATTGGAATTACGTTGACACAGATTATGATGTATTATGTTTCCTTTAAGTTTGGTAGCCAATATTTAAATATAATTGACCGCTAAAAGACCCGTTAATGCCGCTTGCGCTTCGAATAAATCTTCATTGCATAACAGGTGAACGAAGAGAGAGAAAAATATATGCGTGTTCCAATTATTGGCCTCGTGTACCAGTTTTTTAATTTAAAGAATCAAATTCAAAATATTACAACAACATAATTAAATAAACTAAATCAACTTCAAGCTTAAATTGCAGATTCTTACAAAATTTAAACTATTTTAAAGTTAATTAATGCCATATAATTACATTAATTTTCACTTAAATTTGGCTCTTTTTTAATATTTTTCTATTAATTTTTGTTTTCAATTATCATTTCAAACATTTACAACAATTATACAAATATTAACAAAAACGTTTATATCTGTACCAAAAATTATTTTCAAAATTGGATTAATTGTTTATGTCTTTTTAAAAGTGAATTAACGTTGAATTACCTTTATATTGAAATTTGTCAAATTTTTATATATTAAGGCTTGTTTTTTTAACAACTACAAGAAGTAAAATCAAATATTACAACAACAACAAAATCATTCAATTCATTACGAGAATCGCATTCCTGTTTCAAAGTTTAAAATCATTATTAAATGTGTAACTGTTTTTATTTTATTCTGCAATGAATAATAACTCCGTTAACGTTTTCATATCGTTCGAGCATTTACAATAATTATTGTTATAACTCTGCAAAGAGTCTGCTTAAGTTTACTGTTTTAAATATCGGGAAATCTCTTTTCATTTCTATTTAACTGTTATTACCTACCGCCTCGCACATTCTTCAAACATTATCTGTTATGGATTACTCTAAAAAATGTATTTAAGGATCATTTTATAATCTATAATATCGTTAATTTGAAATACCTATACTAAATCAAATGTAACTAATTTTGTTGACTAAAACAAGTGTTTTTATATAATAATGAATAAAACTAAAAATGTAATAACCTGATGATAAAAAATAAAATAATTTAATTATAGTTTATGAGAAAAAATGTTCGGATTTTTTTGTGTTGTTTCATAATTACTGTTTTTTTTTTACCTTTGACACAAATTAAGGACAATAAAAATGTATATGCAGGTGCCTTTCATTAGCGTGAATGTGATATGCACGGATTTCATTTCGTTAATTGCTAATCTCCAAAAATGGATAAATAAAGAAATAATGTGATGTTTTACGTGTATCAAAATATACAAGAGAAAATAAACTAATTAAAGAAACCAAGAAGTATTTTAAATCCAACTAATTTAATAATTTAATTCGTATTTATATTTTAACTATAAACATTATAATTCTCTACTAATTATTTCACTTTTATTTGTTTTCAGAGTAAAACTTTCTTTTTTTTTTCTTAATTTCAAACATTTACAACAATTATAAAGAACAAATATTACCAATTAAAAGGTTTGTATTTGTACCAATATAATTAGAAAATTAACTTAAATTGTAAAATAGGAAAAAAAAAATCGTAATATTATTATAATACTATTGGTTGGTTATGTTTACTTTTAGTAACTGTAAAAGTATAAATTTATTGAAAAGTATTCAATAAAAATATCTAAAAATGATTATTAAATATTTTCATTAACTGTACATTAATTACAGTTACTTATATAGTGAATACTTACTCGTATAGTGAAACATATTCAAAAATACACATAATATGTGTTTAATCCGGGACTTCTCTTCTCATCGTCACTCGTTATGCGAAACGTCGCTCGTTAAGCAAGTCATTTTTTTTTACAACTCAGTAAAAGAATTTCGACAGATGTCTAATACAAACAGACTTAATATACATTTTACAAGATACTACAATATTTTATCAACAGTTATATAAAACAGGTTATGTTTCGTAAACCATCTGTTTTGTACGTTTTATGATGTTTTTCGATCTAGAAAGTATGTCTAACTAATATACATAATAAAATCGTTTAATCATTTTATTGACCTGCCTTTATCTAACTAAAACACTAAAATATGCATGTTCATTTATAAAGTAGCTGCATTTCTAATATTATCATATACAAATTTTTATGTTCTAGCAACATTTTATCAAGTAAATTAATTTTAATTGTCTTAGTTTTTTTTTCTTCATTTAAAACATGTTAGAAAGCAATGATTAATTTAACATTATTTTGAAATATGAATTAATTTAATTTAATTGGATCTATTATTTATAGATCTAATTAATTGAAATCGAAATCGCTTCAGCCAATATCCAATACCGTACTAATCGAGGACTAATAACTACAATAAATTCGCACTGACAGAAACCGTACTATGCGAGGTATTGCACAGTTTATGTTTTAATGAAACTACGATATATTTATTTATTTATTTATTTATATTTACAAATTTGTATTTAATGAAGTTTCTTGCCACGAAATGTTTTAAATAACTAGAAGTGTTTTTGAACGTGATCTACAGTATTATAATTAATGTTTCATAACTACCAACGTAATGAGTGAAAATAATAAACAAAAATGTAATTTAATTATGTTTTACAAACAACTTTAAAAGTCTTAATTAATTAAGTCATGAAAAAACGTTGGTTCATCATGTACAAATTGGAATGAAAGAAAATCAGAAGATTTTCTTATCCGTAATATTTTAGTTTGCAGCTTCGATCAGTGCGGATTTTCTATAGTACGGTTTGAAAATTTCAAAACAAACTCAATTTTACTTCAGCAAATTATTATTTTGTATAAATGACCAGTTTTTTTTTCTATCTATACACTCAAGTCTCTTTTTGTGCAGTTACTTTTTAAATACGATTTTAAAGTCCTCGATTAGTCCGGTTTCAAATGGACTAAACGAGGTATTGCTGTATTTCCAATCTCTGTGATTACCTGTAAAAGCCTGGAATCGTCTGCTCTAAATAACTGCGAGTAAAAAGAAGTCGAAATAATTATTCGGAATGCAATATCCATTTCTGGTTCCGTAAATTGGTCGCAAAGGAAACTGGTAAATAGATATTCAACTAACGGAATTAATCGTGCGATCTTATTTATTAAACGCAAACCTGTTACCAACAGTACGAAATAGTTTTTTTTAACATTATATTATATAAATTATTTTAATTGTATTAAAAGAGTTTTTTTTTTATATAAAGACATTAAACAGTTTTATTTATCAAAATTAAGATTTACTGTCAAAAATATTGTAATACCTCGCATAGTGCGTCTTCGATCAGTGCGGATTTACTATAAAATTAAAAAACAAAAAACTAAATTTTGCTTGACAAAAAAAATTAGTACACAAAATTATCCTTTATACAGTTAAATGTCTTTCTTTTGTGTAGTTTATTTTATGTGTTTTTAAAGTCTTCGATTAGTCCGGTTTCAACGATTGCGATTATAATTTACAATTATAAGTTTGTTGTGGTAATAAATAAGTAAGAGTTTTCTATAATCGTGCATGCGTTGCCATCTATAAGCGATGCGTTTAAGTAACGTTTAAATTTCTCCTTATTAGCGTAAAACTAATTAGACTTTAATTAATTTCAACTCAATTAAGTTTTTGCCTTTTAAGTGTTATAGGAATCATTGCGATGTCTGCAGAAAACAAGCTCTGAATTTAGAATCTAAGAATTTAAAATGCAGATGTCGCAAATTAAATCCAGTTGTACCAATATTCTCGGACAGTAATGGTACGCACTCTAATACCGTCTCCAAATAACAGTGCGAGAGCATAATTTGCGTTTGCTCTTAGCCTGAGATGCCGTTTTTTCTTTTTAAATCTTATTTACTTAAGTTAAGTTAAAATGAGCAAACATTTGGTCCGGCTGAGTAACGGTTATTCAAGAAATGGTTGAGGTAACTACACCTACCTCTACAGCACACGGAGAGAAAGTTACTCGGGATTGTTTGTGTCTGCGTTGTGATCTAAGGACCCAATAACGGAAACACGTTCCGATAATTAACATCTTTTCTCGTGAAAAAACGCGTTTCTCCCTACAACTTTGTCCCGTAAGCAAAATATGAGACGTACTACTTTTAAAACAACGTAATTATCAGCACTCTAATTACCTTTTATTTTAATTAAAAATAATCGGTTCCGCACTGTTCGAAACCGCACTAATCGAAGACTTTGTTTCTTTTATTTTTCGCAATTCAAATTTGAAATTTTCGAATGAATCCGCACTGTTCGAAGCCGTATATTAATTTATTCTTACAACATTTCTCTTATAATTATTATAAAAACCAAGACAAGTTGATTAATTTATTTATTTATCATTTCTCGCATGTTTTTCGTATTTAGGACGTCAAAGGAAATAGAAAATGTAGACAAGAATAATCATTTCTTTAAAGAGCGCTTTAAAAATTCAATCCATTAACATAATAGAAAACACGTAGACTACAATCGTTGTTTATTTTTAATACTAGTGATCTTGAACTTGCTTTCTTTCGAATGTATTTTTTTTTCTTTGCATACAAATCATTAAGTGTAAGTACTTTTTAATTACTTATCAATTTTTTGTTCACAACATGAATTTATCATAACAAAAATTATTTTATAGAAATTAAAAATACGTTATTAGAAGACAAATAATAGAATTTATTAGGTTTCTTTTTTCTTCAAAATTAAATTTTATGAAAAAAAAAACGTCTTTTTATATGTAACAAATAATTCATTTATATTTATTATTTTATCTATTTATTAGAAAACAAAAATTATTATTTAAATCAAATAAATTTAATGATGAAAATGTATAAAATATGAGAAGAATCATAGCATCGATTTATTGTATTATTATTAAAAGGAATTTCAGAATATTTGGAACTGATTTTATGAAAACTTTTAAATGA